ATAGGAAAAGCCTCAGAACTAGTATTCTACATCAAAATCCGCAGCGGTGTCACTGGACGCCTTGGAGCAATGGCATCTAAGAATCCAGGATGCACGAAGAAGATATTAATGGAGGGACCATATGGCGGCGTCAGCGAACCTCACATGGCGCAATTCGACACGATTTTAGTGATAGCCGGCGGCTCGGGAGGCGTGTTTTCACTAGCCATGGTAGACGAAGCACTCCGGCTGACGGGGATAAACGCACCGGCAAGCGAGAAACGAGCACTGTCCCGCCGGAACCTCCAAGTCGTCTACTCGACGCGCGACCACGCTATGGCAGATTGGTACATCGATGAGATCAAATCACGGCTGTCTGAGTCGGACATGTTATCCGCGGAGTCGGACAACGGATTCGAGACTGCGGTATCTGTGCACATAACTGACCCGCAGGGATTGGGAATTTCTTCTGCTTCGGAATCTGACGATGTTAAGAGCACGTTTGGTAAGGTGCCGCCGGCTGAGATTACCACTGCGGGGAGTTTCAGTTTGAATGTTCACCGCAATGCTCGGCCTGATATTCCTGGTTTGGTTGCGCGCACTGTTGCCATGGCACATGTTCAAGGGACACATCTTCAGAAGAAGCAGCGGGTTGGGATTTTGGTTTGTGGTCCTGCTTCTATGCTACATGATACTCGGAATGCGGCGGCTTTGGCGCAGGCCAGGGTGTTTGGAGGTGAAATTGAGGAATTGTATTTGCATTCCGAGCCTTTCGTGTAAGTCTTTGGTTTCCTTGCTATATTTTGACGATTGGCTAACTGGTTTCTACAGGTGGTGAGTGCTATTTGATACAGAGTAGCATCTGCTGGATTGATCTTACTCTTTCTCTTCTCTTCTACCAGTTTATTTATTGCTTCCAATTACATATGTTTCCATCTAAGACCTATGATTTGCTGCAACCAAAAAGAATCGCATAATTATCTCAGAAAAGGAGCAATATCCAAAGAAATCCAATTTATTAACGGCCAAGACCCTCTAAACCAGTCTAGAGCCCGAGTCTATATAAATCCTAGGTTAATACACGGAAATGTAAGTATGAACTAAATAGTACAGAAAGATATAAGAACAATCACCGGCCAGATATAAAACAAAGTCTGGGGATATGAAACACCGGGGCCAAAGCCCAAAAGAACAAAGACGCCGAACATTGATCCCATAAGGCTGAGTGGAGAGACGAGAAAAAACGTGAGACCAAAGATCAACCAAGAAATGCAAATCTAAACATTAAACAAAATCAAAATGAAGAGATCGTCAGGTCATTAGCCCATCAAAATCCTACCTTCCACGCTTGTCACAAGGATGAACATATTTTCTTCCTCTTTGGATCCTTGAGATCCAATCAATGCCAGATCACTCTCCTCTCTCGATTCTTCTCATCAACGAATCCCTCATCCGCACATTGACCACACCACCAACACCGTATGCAGGAACAATCTTGCCCATGCGCGCAAAACAACTAGGCACATAATCGCGACGAATTCGCGCCAAACGGTCTGTCCAGTGCAGGCCACCGGCCGGCTGTCGGTTATACAGATCCAAGCCGAGGAGATGCATGGGTGTACTAGCGAACTGCATAGCAGCGGGGCAGGCAAATTGCGCGATGCTGGATTTCATTGTTGGGCTTGAAGCGAGGAAGTCTGGGACTGAAGGGGCGATGAGGGCGGGGATATTGAAAGAAGCCCAGATTGTGATGCTGTCGCGGAGACAGAACAGGCCGTAGGAGACTTTTGGTATCTGGAGGGTCGGTGCTATGGGTGCAGAGGGAGCGCGTGGTGCGCGCAGAGCGGAGCTGTACTTCTGCGCGACTGGATTTGTATTTACGGTGACGTTTCCAGTTGGCGATTCGGAGGGAGGAGAGGCGCCGAACATTTTGGCGAAGCGCGCGTCTTTGTAGACGCAGATTGTCATGTTGACTATCGTTGTTGCGAAGAACTTGGGGAGGCCTGTGTCAATAACGTTATAGGGCTGATGGTGTGTTGTTGATCGGAGGGTGTCGATTGCGTTTGCTGTGAGGTAGGTTGAGGTGTACAGGGTGTAGATGAGGATGAATGGAGTGCTGAAGAAGAAGCCGCAAGGTCGAGCGACCATCGATCGGAGCCCATTGTTGATCGTTTGGCGGATCGGGAAGCCTTTCGAAGCTTTTTCCATAATTGCACTAGAGGGATTAGTCTTCTTTTCGGTAATAGCACCTAAGAACTATCGTAAGTCACTTACCGATCAATGATGGTGATCAATGGGCAGGTCAGCGCACCCGCTGTTGCTGCACTAGCGACATCGACACCGATTCGCTTGCCCAGGTCCTTGGTATTCCATGTTGAAGCTGTGGAGCGTTTGCTTGGTGCTTGTCCTTGACATTCCTGACCCTGTTCCGTTACTGTGGCCATTGTAAATATTGTATCTTGTACAACAGCATCCCGATTCGTGCTCATGTAGTATAGACGAGAGACAAGTTATGCATTGAGTAAAACTGTACATATGATAAGGTCAAATGAGACAAAATGAATTACGAATAAGATCTGGGGGAAGATTTATATCTATCGTTGATCTCCCCCAGTTTCGGACGACAATGAACCGGCCGCGGTCCGGCGCCGACCCTCCGATGCCGGCCTAGCTTGTCGGCTAAACGCTGTTCCGTTTTATGCAGGCAAGTGTGTGTATATCATTGTTTTTGTGTACATTGCCAAGATAGATACAATGAACTATAGGTTTGCTTCATTATACTCTGACTCTTATTTTAAAATCTCCCAACGCCATATACCAAGATCTTAACTACATATCTAGCGAGCTACAATACCATCCATAGTGACATGGACCGCTCCAGCTTGAACCAACTGAGATAAAGGTTAGCAGAAATTCGATTTATGCAGGGGACACATAATACATACCGCTCGTTGCAAGTCATCAATCAAGTCATCCACATCCTCAATACCAACACACAACCGGATCAAGTCTTCAGGGAAAGCGCGCTCCGCCCGTGTCTTCGCATCAATGCTGGCATGGCTCATACGACACGGCATACTGATCAGACTGTTGACACAGCCAAAGCTGACACTGATAGCCCAGATCTTGGCGCTCTCCACAATGCGCTCGCTAATGGCCGTGTCACCGGTCTCGAACGAGAGCACAGCACCGGCGCCCCGCGCCATGGACTTGTGGAGTTCATATTGCGGGTGGGACCGCAGACCGGGGTAGCGCACCTTGAAGCCAAGGGACTCAAGGAACTCGGCAATGCGCTGGGCATTGCTCTGTTGTTGTTCCATGCGGACCTTCAACGTCTTCACGCCACGCAGCAGCAGCCAAGAGTCGAACGGTGACAAGCCACATCCTGATGCGTTGATCGGGAAGTATAGGCGTTCTCCGAGCTGCAGGTCGTTCACGGCAATGACACCGGCCATCAGGTCGTGGTGGCCGGAGAGGTATTTGGTACCACTCTCGTAGACTACATCGGCACCGAAGTCTAGTGGGTTTAAAAGAAGGGGAGACATCATAGTGTTGTCCACAGAGACAATGCAGGCTGGATTGGCTTCGTGCGCGGCGGTAGCAATTTTTCCGATATCGACGATCTTGATCAGCGGGTTTGTGGGTGTCTCGAGCAGCACCATGGTTGTCTTCGAGCTCAGAACCTCCTGGACCTTCTCAACCTGTGTGGTATCGACGTGGTGCACGATGATTCCGCCGTTGGTCGAGAGGAACTTAAGCAGACGGTTGGTGCCGCCGTAGAGGTCGTCACCAGTGACCACCTCGTCACCGGGGCGGAGAAGTCTTGTGATCACGTCCAAGGCTGCCATACCGGAGGTCACCACCAGGGCGCGCCGTGCCGACATGATCTTGGCCAAGTGACGCTCAAGATGTGTGCGAGTGGGGTTGCCGGACCGTGTATAGTCATACTCTCCACCGCCGGCGTTGGAGGTTTGCTTGAAGGTAGCACTCTATGTGATTATAATCAGCATTTATGTCCAATTGGAAGTAATATTCTATCACCGGGTGTGGATGTACCTGATAGATAGGAACGCTGCTGGCATTGTATTGGTCACTGCCCTCGGTGAAGACCAGTTCGGTGGCGATATTGTACCGGCGACCGGTATGAGGGCTGGACGGGGCAGGGGAAGGTGGAAGGTCATTGCCTGACAGGTCAACCTGAGGGAAACCCTTCTTTACACCGCTGGATGACCCCGAGGCGGCATTGGGAATTCCGGATCCTGACGCCGACATCGTTGTAGCGGGGCAGAAAGACGGGAGAGAGAGTGTGTGTGTATATTGAGGGTAGTTGAGGTGAATTGAAAGCAAACAAGACTCAAAAGATGCGAATATGCCAGAAGAGAAAGGGGGAATAGGAACAAAAATCAAAAAGAAACCGAAGAAACCCCAAGCAGTTCACATCTTCTTTCCCCCCGGACCAAGCTGACTCGTCCACGTCGGCGCTGATTCGTCGAGCCACGGCCATTGCGATCTCGTCATCCGCTAGTCCCGATTAGGCATACAGGTATGTGGAGTTTTTATGAGTCAAACATTTTTACGTTGATTAACTAGTTCACGAAGTTGGTTATGTCCATGGTGAGTATAGAAGAGTTGTACATATATTGAGAGAAGCAACGCTCAATAGCTGTGAAAATGGAGACTTTGATATCAAGTATAGCTTAGCTAGGGGCATCTCAAGGTTTGCTTTTTGGTTAAAACTTATTTTGATAGTTTCTATACTGCCAGGGAAGAGATATATCAATCGAAATTCAATTAGAAGCTATATACGGGTAATGCGATATATCGATATATAACTATTATAACCAGTTAACTACTCCGGACAGACTCTCGTTAGTCATCGACTTGGCTTCTGATGGGACTTCTAACATTTCTACTCATCTCTGTCTACACCTATCCACTTGCACATACCTCTATAGAGTCTGGTGACTGGAATCTGGAAAATAACCCAAGCCTCTTCAACACCGTAGAGAGGAACCCAAAAAATGGCATCGGAATCGGAAGCGGCATCCGCCTATCACGAACCGTCAATCAATACAGTCCTCAGCTATACCGGCTTTCTCTTGACTCTGAATATAGCCAATACCTGTCTGGACAAGCTCCTCTACTGTGGTTTAATCGGCCAACTCTTCATCGGGGTACTGTGGGGCACGCCTGGGGCACAATGGTTCGATCAAGAGACAGAAAGGGTGATCCAGCAGATTGGGTATTTAGGCCTGATACTCTTGATTTACGAAGGTAAGTGTGTGACATTTTCTATACTTGCTGGATATACCTCATTACAATAAATAGGCGGGTTGTCAACCTCCATCCAGTCCTTGAAGGCAAATATTCTACTTTCAACAGCCGTTGCCATCACTGGGGTCTGTGTCCCAATGGGCTTTTCATTCATTCTTGAGGAGCTTGTGTCGGCCACCCCTCTTCAGTCCTTCGCTGCTGGTGCGGCCTTGAGCGCAACTAGTCCCGGCACCATCTTTACCATTCTCTCAACCACGCAGCTGACAACTACAAGGCTCGGCACAGTCACCACTAGTGCCGCAATGCTAGACGATGTCGTCGGTCTAGTCATGGTTCAAATTATTTCAAACCTTGGCGGAAGTGCCACCTCATTCACTACTGTGACTGTTATTCGACCTGTTTTTGTTTCTATCGGGTTCGCCGTTGGTCTTCTATTGCTGTGTGCATTCTGTTTACAGCCAGTATTAAAGAAATTGCTTGGTTGCAAAGACAAGTTCCCTGCTTTTATGGGAACTATACAATTTGCTTTCCTTTCACAGACGTGTGTGTTAATTGGCATCGTGGCTGGTGCAACATATGCTGGGACTTCGAGCCTCTTTGCTGCCTACCTTGCTGGGGTGATTGTCTCTTGGTTCGATGGGCTGATAGCTGAAGCGAAAACACAAATTCCTGCCTTGCGGTCTGCTGAATCTCACGGGAAAACTTTGAACGAACAATCACGCACACGGAATGGCAAGGATCGTACTGAAGAGACACCCTCTTCGCCTGCGCAACCTCCACAGGCAACCGAAATAACCCCTAATGATACACCTACAGGTGAACTCGTATACGCCAAATACTACAAAGAGCCGGTGAACCGAATCCTTCTCCTTCTTTTCTTCGTGAGTACTTCCCTTCGATTTAGGGGCATACTAACACTAGTGGGCATCCATCGAGTTCGCAATCCCCATAATCAAAATGTTCTCAGGCCAAGTTGTATGGCGTGGAATTATTTACGCCATGCTAATGGCAATTGGAAAAATGATCACAGGGCTATGGCTGGTGCGATTCTCTCCGAGCCCTGTGTCGCGTCTGGTCTCTATCATCAAGAAGCCATTTACATACGACCATTCCTACTGTTTAAGTCCTTGGACCGCCAGCAGAAAATCAAATCAAAAGAAGAAAGCCCACAAATACCAGCGACTCAAGATGAGAGCGCAGATGTTCCCGCCCCGAATAATGCCAAAGACGAGTCTCAGTCAACGAACAGATCCCCTACACCCACTTTTCGCCCCGATCCCCGCATCTCGCTCCCCCCGAAACCAAAGTCTTTGTATCCGCCTTCTATCCTGGGATTGGCAATGGTTGCCCGAGGCGAAGTGGGATACCTCATTGCTTCAATTGCCGAAAGCAAAGGGATATTCTCCAATGACTCTTCCGAAGGACCATCTGATATCTATCTAGTGGTCGTCTGGGCAATCTCCCTCTGCACATTGATCGGTCCGATCTTGGTTGGAACTCTAGTCAAACGTGTAAAGAAGCTGCAACAGTCAAGGGTGGATATGGGGTCCGATCCCTTGGGAGTTTGGGGAATTTAATTATCTCGGATACAGTGAGCGACGACCATGCTATATTGAAGCTCAAAAGCGATGCCATTGGTTTATAGACAATAATCATTCTGATATGAATGATATCATGCTAATCTCCACAAACACAGCCGTTCAGCCACCCATCTCCATAATCCCTCCATTCTTGATATGAGCCATGTCGCTCCGGGTAATGGGATCCTTCTTGTTAAAAGACACCTTCTTGCGTTCCGCAGGAGTCCAAGACGTGATGTCCTTCGAATCACCACCCAGACGCCCATCATTGGCCTTCTTCAGCTTTGCTAATACCTTTGCCCAGCCCCAGGGATCATTGGCATTGGCTGTGGCCTCGGGAAGCCCAACCGTCTCATCAGACGACTTTTCGTAGCGCGGGTGGTTCAAGCCATGAATTGTGACATCGTGCTTAGCAGCATAAGCCTCAATCTTCGCGCCATGGTCGCCTTGGTCGATACCGTACTCTTTGAAATCAACACTGAAGCGAATGAACAGACCGATCATGGCTCCGATGTTCTTTACCTCCGAGTCCGGCTTGAAGAGCCCATTTCGCTCCAGAGTAGCAAGCATAGTAAGGAACATTGTACCGAAGGCGATAAACACCGCATTCACGGTCTCTCCGTCATCGCAGCTATTTATTGCACCCGTTAGCGTTCCGTCAACACCTAATATTCTGCTCGGAGCCAGTGAGACAAACCCAACCATCGGCATGATAGCATCCGTTTGGAAATACAGCCCCGTCGCTTCACAGATGGCCCACTGCATCTTCCAGTCGCCAGCTGCCTCATCAAAATCCAGGAGCAGGTTCTCCACCAACTCCATAACCGCATATCCAAAGAAGTCATTGTAGACATACATCCCGAAGTTATCTGGGTCGCGTGCGATGGTACCTTGCTGCAGCGTAATCCATTTAGCGATGCCGGCGTTTGTGAAGATCCATTTCTCTCTCGGGTGCTCCGAAGCAGGTTCGAGGGCTGTGGCTTCGTCCGCCTCCTGGTATCAGAATCAGCCATCATCCCGCACTGGAGAATGGTATTTCTCTCCTAATTAGGAAGTCACTAACCGCATCATCTTTCTTCTTCTGCTCTATAAGCTCCTCATCTTCCTCGTCCTCATCCTCAGACTCATCGTCTGTGCTTTCCGTCTTCCAAGGCGCGCGCCCCAGACAAATATAGGAGAAAGCCTTGACTGGGTCTCGGGTTCGCAATTTGAACTCCGAAGCCGCGTTTCGGGAGACAGAGACGGGGGCCCATCGCTTATTCAGTTCGCGCTCGGCTTCCATGTCTACTTCAGAGCTGTTTGCTAGGCTCTTGGACCTTTTTGGACCACTAGCGGCGGAGTCGGTTGATTTCCTCTTGGGAGGCATAATGGAAGATGATGAAATTGAAAGAACGGAATAGATGGAAGGTATATCAAGTTTCAAACTGTGATAGGTTGAGTGGGCTTATTTAGGTAAATACAGGTGACGCGACTTGACGCGTCGTGGACACAACAAGAGTCGACACCTCAATTTGGTAGAATAATATATTTGTATAGGTATGTGAACACAATGAACACAATGAACACAAGCAATTGAAATTTGTATATACTCCACTCCAACTCCCTCTGGATGCCAGTCCATGAAGTTTCCCCAATATGATCCGAATCACAGAACAACAACAAACGTAAGAAAATAGCAAAAAGTCCCAAGATGTCACTATGAACCTCGTCCAAGGAAATTCCCATAAACCAGACCGTCATAAAGACAGAATAGTCGAGAGAATCCCACAACGCCGCAGCCGAATCCAAACCATTTTGAGACAGAAAAAAAAGGAAAGCTCCAAAAGATGACAGTATATACCAGCATAACAATTAGATTAGAGTCTGCAAAGGGAACCCGGTTATCCTTTGTACTCGAAAGCCCCCAAAGTCCACTCCCGACAGGTAAAGTGTGTGTAACAGCATAGAACCGAAGCGAACATACTCCGTGATTGTTTACGCCGCCAGATCGCCGAAACCGCCGTTGATGCCGAAGAATTGGAACCTGTCGCGTGTTAGCAAAAGAATATCATTAAGAAAAACCATAGAATCGAAAGTTCTTGGGATAATTACCAGTCCTCGACATTTAGCGTTGTTGGCGCAGTCGGCCCGCTACGGGAACTACTACTCCAATTATCATTGTCCTGGCTAGCAGCGTCCATTGCAGATCCACTCATAGTGCCATCGAGACTGTGCATAGGCGGCCAGGCTTGCTGATGCTGGCCCTCCATGCCGAACATCTGCTGCGGCGGGTTGGGATGCATTCCCATCGCGCCCGGCAGTCCCGACATTATCGGCGGGCTACCATGGGAGATAGACATGCTACGGCCCGAGACGGGCTGCGGCTGGTTGTTCACCATGGGACTAGGGCGCGGGGCCATGCCAGGGGGCATTTGGGATGGGATCTGGAGGGATGGGTCGACTGCGGTAGGCTGGGGTGGCGATGTCAATTCCGGGAAGAAGGCGGTGCCATCTGGGAAGAGTTGGTCGGGCTGGAAGTTCTCCCAGAGTGAGGGGGAGAGGTTAGGAGAGGTGCGGGTTACTAGGAAGAAGTCGGGGGGTGTGGCGGGTAGAGAAAATTGGCCGTTGAATGGGGTTGTGGGCCTGGTGTTGGCTCGGGAATTACCCGTGCCGGTCATGGGATCGTGAGGAACGCGGTGGGTGTTTGGTGATTGTTGGCCGCCGGGAGGAGGTTGGTTTATTTCCCGGGAGGGAGTGACAGCCGGTGTCTGGGGCCGGGAGCGCTCATATGACACGGGGGGTGTAGGCCCGCCACCATTTGGCATGCCGATATCCATGTCATCAAATTTGCGCTTCGGCGGATCCTGCCTCTTCGAGGAAGATGATTCTCCGTGTCGCGTCCGCTGATGTCTCCGGCCTGCAGCCTTCTGAAGTCGCTCTTCCATTACTTTGTTTCCGAGGATAGACTCGAATAGCGTATTCACCATCTTTGCCACCAGCCAGACCTTTGATACATCCTTGAGGGCTAACATGCAAACATTGATTCTTTCCTGGCAGGTGGCCACGATCGAAGGAACCGAGGAGCGCATTTGGTATACGTGCATGATCAAGGCTGAGAATAGACTGTAGACAATGAAGGCCGGCGTGTACCGGATTTCCCCATGAGCCTGTAGGTTCTCAACGATGGAGGTAATCATGCCTGCAGCTTGGAAGGCAATTGTTCGCGATGGATAAGCCATTTCTTCGACCCTGTAGTTGTTGGGTGCGGACGAGGCAGGCGGCATGTGAGCCCTGTGAAGAAGACAGAGTGTAGTGTAGTAATTAGAGTGCAAGAGAGCCGCCCAGAAATGATGCCGAGAGCGTTGCCAGCATACTTCTTTGGGACAGTTCTGCAGCCAATCGGCGAGCGCCATATCCGAGTGGGTGAGATCCATTGCATTCATTCGCCGTGACTTTGAAGCCACAGAGTACTGCTGCGACAGAACCAAGCCCATGATCTCGCATAGCTTGACATACTGTAGGAAGAACTGGACATGGACAGGGTCTGCTGGGTATTCGGCGACCATGTCGAGCTCATCCTCGATGAAATCATCTTCCGTCACCATCTCAACATCCGAGTCATCTGTATTGATTCCAATCGGCCGTCCCAGTGCGACAGCGACAGACCGATCCCGGGTGAACAGGGTCCACCATATTCTCTTCCAGAGTCTTTTGTCTGGTTTGTTAAGCTGCGACATTTCGACGCTGCGGTGCATTCCAGAGCCCTGTGCTACCACCATAGCAACCCGTGTCCAGTAGAAGACGTTCTTCGTGACGTCTGTGACTAGTCAGAAAATCCATCAGGATAGACTAGTATAGATTATGAACTCACCTTCCGGTCCCTCCCAGTACCAACCCAAAAGTACTAATGCCTGCACGATGGTGACACGGTCATCCTCGTAGTTAGCATCATACAGCGCCTTGGCGCGTTTATAAAAGGTCATAGCCGCAGGGGTTGTCGAGCCATTCGCATCCATAAGCTGCTGGTTAGTACAGACTCTCGATCCTGCCAGCAGAATCGCCTGCAGCAGTAGCAACGACGGCGGGTTTTTGGGGTCACGGTAGTGACGCATGAAGCGACTCTTGTTGATAATCGGCACGACGGGGGCCACCCATTTGAAGTAGGCGTCGACCAACTCATCACACAGTGGTTTGGGTGGGAGCAGGAATGCCCCACGCTGGTGCAGAATATCGATTTCCAAGTTGTCCAGGTCCGTCAATCGAGCGCGGGATCCTCTGATATTAGGTGGAAGCGGGTAGTGCACGACATCTGCCGTTCCATGGCGGTCTTGAACCAGAAGAGACAGATTCGACGACTCGCCCAAGTACGCCACCCGGCCGGCCTCCTTTATCGGAGCACGGGCAAACTTCGGCTTCATGAATTGGGCATAGGCGTTATTGGCCGAAGCTTGTTGGGCAGCCTCAGCCTCGGAAAGGGAAGTATTGGGCATGCCGTCGACGCCCATGAGGTTGTTTCGGTACCCAAAGGCATTGCTCTTTTCATCCAAGTCCGAACTTTTCTCCTTTTCTCTGGATATAGAGACCGAGCCAGATATCGAATCGGCTGGCTCCTCAGTGCCAGTGGGTCGGAAGTGAGAAACTGCAGCGTCGACGACCGAGGCAGTTTGTGGTGGACTGTCCTCATACTGACTATCTTCCTTGCTCTTATTCTGATTGTTCTTCTTTCGTTTCGGAGACGGGATCTTGCACTCGATAGAGAAAGCGACACAATTGGTGCAAGGCACCCCGAGACTGGCTGCATCACATCGAACCTGCGTGACGGGAATGGTTAGAGAGTGGGAAAAGGGGCGTGACCGAGGGCAAACCCACCTTGCGAGCATGACATGTCTAATTGAATCGAAAAGATAAATATCAGCTACATTTTTTCAAATCCAAGAAGGGGAGAGAGAATGTATCGCGATAAGGAACTGAGCCGAGGTGCGTTGAGGACCTCGGCCCCAGAGTCGCGTCTCCCTAGA